GTTGATGAGGCTGCACTGATAGGCAGCACTGATAGGCAGCACTGATGAGCTGGCACAGAAAGGAAGCACTGATGGGCACTGATAGGTGGCACTGATAAGGAGGCACTGATGATGCTGCACTGATATGCAGCAATGATGGGCATTTTGTCTTTTGTTTGTCAGCTTTTACTAGCAGGGAAAGTTTCGGATCGCACTGATACAAATTTGATCTGAAGCTTTCCAGGACAAAGGAGTAATCTGAGGTCTAATAGACCCCAGTTGTCTTAGTAAACAGGACCTGTCACTGCTGGATGTTTGTATTCCTTGTGATAGCAATAAAAGTTATAAAAAAAAATGTAAAAGGGACAGTATAAAAATTAAAAAGAAAAAAAAAAATTTAAAGAGTGCCCTTCTCCCTGTGCTCACAGCGAATGCATAGGTAGGTCACACGCACATATGTAAATGGCAATAACACCACACATGAAGTATCACTGCAACCATTATTGCGAGAGCAATCATTTTAGCACCAGACGTTCTGTGTAACTCTAAACTGGTAACATGTAAAGGCTTTTAAAGCACCACCTATGGAGATTTTTAAGTACCATAGTTTGGCACCATTCAGCGAGCATGTGTATATTTAAAGCATGATGTGGTGGTAGGTATCTATTTACTCAGTGTAACGTCTTTTTTAATTACAAAAAAAATTGGGTATTATATTGTGCTTTTGAGCATTAAAATTCATTCAAATATATTTTTTTCCAAAAAGAAATGTTTGCAAAAATTGCAACAACCACCATATTATTCTCTAGGGTCTCTGATAAAAATATATAATGTTTGGCGGTTTTAAGTAATTTTTTAGCAAACAAATACTGATTTTGACATGTAAACAGAGTGTCAGAATAGGCCTGGTCTTGAAGAACACTGGAAAGTACAATAGCTCCACCATGATTCCCATTTCCAAAAAGTATTGTAGAAGAATCAGATTAGAACTTTACTTGTATCAGCTAACAATCCAGTATAATCATACAGATTAGGCCCCATGCACACAGAGTATTTAGCCCAGATGCATGGGCCATGAAGTTTGCATTCTGGGCATTCATCACTTGGTGCATACTGCCCTAAACATTCATAACATTCATAGCACCATCAAGCACCATCCAGCCCTGTCCAGCGGTCAGCCTCTCAGAGGCCCTCCTCCACTTAAATGGCAGAGTCACTTGCATCAGGGCTAAATGCACAGTGTACATATGGCATTACGGTAAGAAGGTTCTAAAGCAATCATAAACTCTCGCTATAATCTGTATATAGCACAATAAAGTCAATAAAGACAATGTGTTAGTATTATTTCTCATTTCGGGACAGTGGGGAAGCCAAACAAATCACTACTTTGCACCCTATTGGCCAGATGAACATCCAGAAATGCTGGTGTATAGTGGAAACATAACCTGAAATTATTGAGCAATTTATTCCAAACTGCATACAGCCGAAATAAGATGGGAACTTCTTCCATGTGTATTACATTCAGATTGTGGTTTGTTGGTGACCTCTAGGGGTTAGCAGGGAGCATAAAATCCCTGCTTGAAACACTTGTGCTGGACTTCATTTTATCTTCAAAAATTCACTTTCATTTCGCTTACACTCAAAATTTAAATGTGAATCATGCATTAGTACCTATTGCTGGTTTTGCATTGAATCCAGGGGAAGAGATAGGCTAGGAATCATTATTCAGGCTGTCCTGGCACTGGTCATGTAACATAGTGCCTATCAGGGGCGGACTGACAACTCATGGGGCCCCTGGGCAATAGCGGATCATGGGGCCCCTGTGTCCTTGCCCAAACTCAAAAAAGCCTCTGAAAAAGTACCAGGAGCATCTCATGGGGCCCCCTACTGACCTCGGGCCCTCGGGCAGTGCCCCGAGTTTCCAAATGGCCAGTCTGCCCCTGGTGCCTATAGATTTCTTATGGGGTGAAGAGCTTTTAGTACATATGGCTATAGGGCTGCACGTAGAATGGGTATCTATATATAAAAATATAGTGAGCGCTCTCAGTAATTTAGCAGCTGAACATACAAGGAAAACGCATAAAAAGTGAGCCAGTGGATGAAGTCAGCCCCGAGCAGTGTGCTGCATGCTGGAGCGTGATTGGTCTGCCTTCTCCTCTCCGTCCTCCGGAGCATGGACTACTAATCTCCGCCGAACACCCGTCTGAGCAGCTATTCCCGTGACCAGACCAGAAGGAAGAGGGGAATCTTCAGGATATTTATTCACATGCGTATTACCAATACGCTTTCTGGTTAGTGCTCATTCTTATCATTTGCACTGGGAATCAAGGATCACCTTTATTGGACTGTGTTTCATCACTACTATCCATAATATATTAATAGCGCTGCATTTTTATATATATGTAGAATGGGTATCGTATGTGATATGTCTGCTTTGAACTGTAACAGTTCTGCTGTGAAAAAATCAATCCCTCTAGATAAATGGTACACATTGCAAGGATTTTTTTAAACCATTTACAAATTCATATCTTTCTCAGTTTTAAAGTCATTTGTTCTTGATTTGCCATACCCTATCCCAAACAGATTTCTGAGTGGGAAGGCCAGCACTCTTCATCATCAGATGAACAGTTTCAGTGTTGTAATAAAAAGAGCTGGGAAAGTCTTAGAAGCATATGGCATGCACAGAAGAAAGAGTGGCCTCCAACTCCTTTTATTCTAAAGCTGGCTATACACTGGTAGAATTCTGTTCAAATGTTTTTGTTGCGGGAACATTCGATTTTTGAATGTCAAATTGACATTTGTTTTCGACTGCAGTGATGAGAAAATCCGAAGGAGCAGGATGAAAGGTTTTTCTCAAATGAACAAATTTCTAACTGCATATGTGGTTTTCATTCAGGGTGTAAAAAATTGAATGATAAAAAGCAAATGGAATTTTAAAGTACTTTAGAACGACATTCGGCAAGCTGTCAAAACTACTGATATGTATGCATAAAATCTTTTTTTATGAATGTTTGTACAAATGTCTTTTCAGGAATCTAAAAGCGTATGGCCAGCTTAATTCTCCTACATATGTACAATGTATGACTGTTCAACTCATTGTTTTTAAAAAAAGGATTACCGGTATTTTATGCTTCTGAATTTGCATGCAACCAGTGCTAAGAAGAGTTTGTTAAAAGCAAGAGTCAACCCAAAAACAGTGTTCACTCTGTCTCCTTCCATTCTGGGTACCAGAAATGATGTAACCCCTGCGTGCATATGCAGGAGTTACATTATGGTCATCCAATGGCCAAAGGTATTGATGGGGAACCCATAAGTACCAGTAACAGAGATGGCAGCAGCGCGGGAGCAGTCATCACTGGAGAAGGGCACACTCATAAGGTAAGTTTGCCATAATGTGTAAATATGCAGAGTTCACCCACTTTACTTCCTCTTTAAGGTGTTAAGGGTTACTAAAGCACAATATCCTGGACTTTTTAAAGTTCATTTTATGCACTGTGTTGCAGACATTTAGCCTTGGACTCTTTATTGCAATTTTTCAATACGAACTCCAAATGGACATGGACAAACACATCTGCACTGACCATTTTCCATATACTCATTTAAAAATTAAAGACAAATAAAAATACATTCTCTGTGAGGTAGAAAATACAAATATTACTTCACTTCCAAGGAGATATTCATTCACATTATACAATATTTATCATTATATTTCCAACACCTACTGTATTTCCAACAAGCACAGCTGAAAGTGGTCATCCTTGAAGAACTGCTGAAATTCAAGTCTTTAAGTAGAATGCCAATATCGGATGGAAAAGAAAAAATGGAGGTATAGCCCCTAGGAAACAATTGTTAGCTTTTCTTTCTGATGGGTTTTAGCAAAATTATAGCTATATATGAACTGGTTGTTAAAGAGAGTGTCACTTTAAGAAAACTAAAAGCTTCTGATAGGCATGCAGAGGTGCACCGAACTACAGAGGTTTAATAGCACAAATGCCAGGCATTTGTGGTCAGGAACATTTTTGTCCGGTCAGTAGGAATGTGTGGAAGAAGGGTGGGCAGTTCAGCATTATGTGGAAATGTAGAATTGTTGTATGATTAGAACTGTCTGGCATTTGGGTGAAAAAGAGGATTCTGAAAACTGTTGGTTGTAATGTGCAACCCCCTCTGGGCACCTGCACTTCATACCTGTCAACAGCTATCAGTAATATTAAAGTGAAATGGTCTCTTTAAGTGCATAATTGACACTTTAATTTCCTCCAGTTACACATGTACACTTTGCTAGACGATGCGGTGCCACCTTCATCCAGTCAGCTGATGCTCTAGAGCAGCCATTCTCATCCAGGGTTCTTTGGAAACCTGGGGTTCCTTTGGAGGTTGCTATGGGTCCCTTGAGCTGTGGCTGATTGACCTTATATTTGATGGTGCCTTCATAGTTACAGGACCAATGCCACCTGGTAACGTTGCAACACCAATTATATTTTTAACTGTCTTTAACTGGTATACTGACTACAAAGTCGAATAGGAATCTTCTCACTGAACCCTGATGAATTGGTCTTTGCAGGTGTTCCCCAAGGCCTGAAAATTATTTCAAGGGTTCTTCAAGGGTAAAAAGGTTGAGAAAGGCTGCCCTACAGACATCTGGTATAGAAACCTCAAACGTATCCCAAAGATGATTAAAAAAATGCTAGATATGCAGAAAAATGGATAGCTTGAACCATTGAGGTGGTTTGCCTAGTTGCCTAGTTGTAGGCAGATATATTGCTATAAACTGTTTTTATAGTAAAACTTGAAAACCAGCAAAGTCTCATGAAGGATCTTCTTCCAGCTGTGAAATAAAATAAGAGAGACAATTAAGGCAGAAAAGGATTTTCCGTTGTAATAGTAGTCCAATGCATCTGGCTCTCACAGGGCTCCTATCTGTGAAAAGTGTAATCAATATTTAAGGAGACACCACCAGCAGTCCTATTCCAAAGACTTTGCTTAAAATCATAATGGAGTTCATTTTTCCTTGTAAGAAGCCATTACTCCCAGGGCCCCCAGACACCAGATGCTCCAGGGTCACACCTCGGGTCATCATCTGGGTAGTAGATAGGAACTGAATTATTGTAGTAATATTCCAGACGGGAAAGAAGTTTCTTCACCACACCAGGGTATTTGTCTGATAAATCCTGTGTCTCTTTGGGATCACTGATGATATCAAACAGCCAGAGAGATTTTTTCCAAGAACCCAGAGAAGGAATGTCGGTGGCATTTGGTGGGGGAAACCAATGGTCACAACCTTTTCAGAGAAAAGGGAGAAAAATAAAACATAGCATTGAAATCACACAACTGTGGATGACAAAAACATTTACTAAATCAGAAGACTTGATGAACACATTGACTGATACATGCAACTCTTTGTTCCAAGCTATTAGAAAAAGGAGAGTCCATACTTCTTGAACTTGACAGAGTTATGTGCAAAGATGGAAATTCCCCCTAACATGCCACATAAAATGTATGAAATACAAAGAGGAGACCAAGTGTAGGGGATTCTAACTTGTAAATGCCACCTCCATCTACGACAAAAAGACTATATACAGGGGTAGGCAACCTTTGAGAGGTGGAGATCTACCATGACAACATGGAAGAAAACAAAGATCACTGAGGTGCGACACCCTTTTTTTTTTCTTTTTTAAGATGTTAACTTGCAAGCCCCCAGAGGTCAGAAGTGGGTAGGGTAGTGTACAGAGGTTAGTATTAGGTAGGGCAGTGTACAGAGATCAATCAGATGTATTGCAGTGTACAGAGATCAGTAGCATGTAGAGCAGTGTACAGGAATCTGTATGACAGATGACAGAGGTAAGCAGGACAGCAGTTAGCAGGGCAGAGAACAAGGTGTCAACAGAGCAAATGACAAGAGGTCAGCAGGGCACGATATTGGGGGGAAGTCAGGAAGACATGGTATTGAGGGTCAGGAAGGCACAGTCCTGAGAGCATCAGGAAGGCAGACTACAGAGATCAGCACACTGCACTCCGGGGTATAAGTGCCAGAACCTGAGATAGCGCTGTCAAAGCTGGCAGTGGATCCTAGGTGACAGAGGCATTCCCTGACCCGCAGCTGCACATGCTTCGGAGCGGGCAATGCCTCCACTACCTAGGACTCAATTTGACTGCTTCCCTGCTTGAGAGCTCAGGCGAGAAGATACCTGAGCTCATCTCTGCTCTGCCACTTGAGGGAAAAAAGACGAGGCGCACTAAAGGGTCGACAGGTAGATCCTGATTGACAAGTTGCCGAGCTCTGATAAAATATATATAGCTTAAATACAGAAAATAAGATAGTACTATTTGTCATTTAGGTCAAATTGTACCACCTTGAATTATGTCTCAAGGGTTTGAGAGTTTGACACAAAAGCATTTGCATCTATTCCCCTAAGGGTGCTCACAGGTGGATGGATAGTGGGCGATGTAGAAAAGGGTCAGTGGGATAGTTTGGGATTTAGATGCAGGAGAGAGTGGCAGGGATGTTGGCTGCATGAGTGAAGGGTATGGATAGCAAATGCAGGAGTGAGGGGTAGGGATAGTAAATGCAGGAGTGAGGGGTAGGGATAGTAAATGCAGGAGTGAGGGGTATGGATGTTAAATGCAGGGGTGAAGGGTATGAATGTTGAATGCAGGGGTGAGGGTATGGATGTTGAATGCAGAAGGGAGAAGTATGGATATTAAATGCAAGAGTGAGGCCTACATTTAATATCCATTACACTCCATCCTGCATTCAATAACCATATCCCTCATTCCTGCATTTAACATCCATATACCTCGCTCCTGCATTTAACATCCATATCCCTCACTCCTGCATTTAACCTCTTGCCGACCGCGCATAGCCGAATGACGGCTTCACCGCGGCCGGCCAGTTCTGGGTGGACGTCATATGACGTCCTCCCAGAACGCGCTCTCCTGCGCGCCCCAGGGGGCGCGCACCCGGCGATCTCCGTGATCGCTGTGTCCTATGGACACAGCTGATCACGTGATGTGGTAAAAGGCCAATCACAGCGGCCTTTTACCACCTGATCAGCGGTGTCCAATGACACGCTGATCAGAGGGAAATGCAAGTGCCGGTTCTCGGCTGCACTTTCCTCACACTGTCAGATCGTGAGGAAAGTACTGCCGAGAACCGGCAGTTGTCAGAGCGGGGATCGGCACCGATCATCAGGGCACTGATGATCAGTGCCCTGATGATCGGTGCCCAGCAGTGCCACCCGCAAGTTCCGCCCAGCAGTGCGCCCACTAGCTCCGCCCACCCGTGCCCAGCAGTGCACCCACCTGTGCCCAGCAGTGCACCCACCTGTGCCCAGCAGTGCACCCACCTGTGCCACTCTGCATTGCCACCTACCTGTGCCCAGAAGTGCCACCTACATGTGCCCAGCAGTGCCACCCACCTGTGCCCACCCACCTGTGCCCACCAGTGCCACCCACCTATGCCCACCCACCAGTGCTGCCCACCAGTGCCACCCACCAGTGCAGCCCAGCAGTGCTGCCAGTCAGTGCCACCAGTCAGTGCCCAGGGGTTGTGCCAGTCAGTGCCGCCAGTCAGTGCCCAGCAGTGATGCCAGTCAGTGCCGTCTATCAGTACCCATCATCAGTGTCACCTATCAGTGCCGCCTATCAGTGCTGCATATTAGTGCCGCCTATCCGTGACACCTCATTAGTGCTGTCTATCAGTGCCGCCTATCCGTGACACCTCATTAGTACTGCCTATCAGTGCCCTTTAGTGCTGCCTATCAGTGCCCATCAGTGCTGCCTCATCAACGCACATCAGTGAAGGAGAAAAAATGCCTGTTTGAAAAATTTTATAATAGAAACAAAGAAACTTTTTTTTTTTTCAAATTTTTTGCACTTTTTTATTTATAGCGCAAAAAGTAAAGCGCCCAGCGGGGAGTAAATACCACCAAAAGAAAGCTCTATTTGTGAGGGAAAAATGATCAAAATTTCATATGGGTACAATGTTGCATGACCGCGCAATTGTCAAAGTGCGGCAGCGCTGAAAGCTGAAAATTGGCCTGGTAAGGAAGGGGGTATAAGTGCCCGGTAGGCAAGTGGTTAACATCCATACCCCTCACTCCTTCAGCCAACATCCCTTCCACTCCCTCCTGCATCTAAATATTCAATATGGATATTGAATGCAAGAGGGAGGGTATGGATATTAAATGCAGGAGCGAGGGGTATGGATATTACAGTAAATGCAGGAGGGAGGAGTATGGATATTACAGTAAACACAGGAGTGAGGGGCATGGATATTAAATGCAGGAGTGAGAAGTATGACTATTAAATGTAGGTAAGAGGGGTATGAATGTTAAAAGCAGGAGTGAAGAGTACATATATTAAATGCAGGAGGGAGCGGTATAGATATTAAATTCAGGAGGGAGGGTTATGGATGTTGCATACAGGGAGTTTGGGTATTGAAGGGGGATTCTGTATATTGAGGTGATTAGAAGCTATAGGGAGGTAGTGGCAAAGGACAAGGTCCTGATTCACTTCTTACATTGGGACTCAAACTACAAGCCATACCACTGCAAAACAATACACAAATATTGAAAGCAAAGAATGTAGGTGCATGAACTTACAGTCCTCATATTTGAATGTTTTGTGTAAACATTTCTCGGTATAGCAGATAAATAGTACCTGGATATCCAGTCAGTAGCTTCCATTTCCCATGACGAATAGCAGCATGAATTGATACATTGAACATTGAATGTTCATATTCAGGGATGGTGTTGGACAAGGGTGTTATGGGTTCATTATTTGCAGAACCTAAGAAGGAATAAGTATGAAAGAGCTTTCAGCATGTTATCCTTAAATTTACCATCACAAGACTAAATGATCACACAATCCCCATCCAATCACAGTTCAAATTTCAGTTGTGTATATACACTGACAAATATAAATTAGATACATGATGTCCCATAACCACAGTTGAGCGCCAGGACTATTATTATTTATTTAACGTCAATACTGGCATCTAGCACATTGTGCCCATAATGGGCTGCTCTGGGACCAATGGTTTACACACTCAAAATGTATTGCTGTTCTCACCCGTCAACATGCAGGAGCCAAAGTGGTGCCAATCAATCCCCATTAACTGCTCCTAGTGCAAGGAGTATGATCAGGAGACTGCAGATTGTATCACAAGCAGGGGCACTTGACTAATGCTTACAGTGCAGCTTATTGTCACAGAGGATGTCCAGAAAAGACACTGACACAGCATTGCAGAAATGATTACACAATTCTGTTTGTAAAGAGTGTGTTACTTACATGGAAAAGAGTCCACAAACAAAGGGTCTATATTATGCAGCAGCTCTTTTCTCGGGGATGGTCTTCCTTCACTAATGACAAATACAGAACGGAAAAACATTACTTTATTAATATATGCTAGCAGTATATTCTATATATCTACTCTACTACAACTGGGGGATTCTCTTGGCAAGAAGATAGTTAAAGAAACACATATCAAAATCATTTTATACCATACAACAGCTTTTCTCAACCAGGGTGCCCAGGCACCCTGGTGTGCCTTCAGGCTTCTTCAGGGGTGCCTTCGGGCTTCTTCAGGGACGCCTTGGCAAAATGCCCCAATATTGTATACCAGCCAGCCGGTGGATCAATCCTGCCTTTTAGTACACAAAGTCACAGGTTTTCATTGTGCACTTTTATGACCTTCTAGCTGCCTGCATCCTAACAACCAATTATCAGTTGATAAAGAGGACGTGGGGTGCATGCACATCATCCTTGTTTGCCCCACCCCTGCCCCTCTCCATCAGCACTGGAGTCACATTAACAGAGTAAGGGAGAGAAACAGAGAGACACACTGGAATACTAGTCGGTACCAGTGTGCAAGGTGTATTTGCTTTGGAAGAGTAAATCGCCTCTAACATTGGGTGTACCGGATGTGTGTAGAATAGTTTTTTACATTTTAGAATGGGGTGGCTTAAGATTGTGCAGAATTTTAAAGAGTGCCTTGAGATTATCCATAATTTTAAAGTGTGCCTTGACTGAAAAAAAGGTTGAGAAACACTGTCACACAAGGCAAATAACCTACATCTACATGATATCATGCATAGTTGGTACACATGAAATTATTAATGCTCTGAAATGCCAAAATCAGTTAGAGGATTTCCAATGAAAATGAAAATCTCCATTAGGAATGAAAGTCAAGCTCTACCTTAATAGATCCTACCCCAAAAAGAACAGGGAAATACATTTAGACTTTGTAACATGACATTTCAGGCCCAAACTGGCTGATGTCAGAACGGAGGGTTTGTGAATAACACATAGGTGTAGCTTTGCCTTGTTCAGCCTTGTATCAAAGTAAAGGCAAATATTACAGCATTCTGTCGCCCCCAAGACTGTAGCACAGTTGAAAACTGTGTTAAAGTGGTAGTAAACTACCACTTTAAACGTGTACCTACAGGTAAACTTACAATAAGCCTTACCTGTAGATACAATATCTCCTTAACCTCCCTAGCGGTCTGATTATGTCCATATTTCTGTGCTCAAACGGTACATTTTTTTGCATGGAAATATGTATTTTTGTTATTGTAGGCCTGTAATTTTTAGGAATAACTCACTGAAATCTTTCCGAACAAGAGTTTAGTAAACATCCCGGGTAGGATAAAACGTAAAACACGAAATCATAAATTATAATTTAATAAATAATAATCATCGAAAAAATAATAATATAATAATAATAAATTTAATTCAATAATATAATCAAACCAAAAACACTGAATTTTGAAATATAGCGCCAAGTTCGCATATCACTGAGCAAAGTCGCAAAATCGTTTTCAGTGTCTGATGCCGAATTTCCCCACAAATCATTATCACTCAATTCTGGAAGTGGTTCTGATTTACTATCGCTGTTCTCTAGCTGGTCTAAAACCGCTTTTGACCTAAAGGGACGCTTTTTGGACGCCATGGACATTTCTCAGTTTCCAGGCAGAAAGAACAGTCAAAATGCAGGCAGGGCACAGGACAAAGCATTAGGGACAAAATGTATGTGAAATGGTTTGATACAGTAATGTTTTACTATGTGATTTTAGTGATTTTAGTGAATGTCACTTTTTGTCATTTTCAAATTTCCCGCTGTTACATCCGCTGTACGTCCCGACGCTCGCAGGGGACGGAACCCAGATGACAGATGCCGGCATCCGCCGGATTACATTGCCGGGGACACTGCAGGAGGGACATCGCGGGAGCGCAAGACAAGGTAAGTGATCGAGGGATCCCGGAGCAGCGCTGCAAGGTATTCCCAAGTGTAGCTCAGGGGTTACCGCTTGTGGTACTGAAACTTTACCCCGAGCTACACTCGGGAATACCGCCAGCGAGGTTAACGTGCACTGTTTAGGAGATATTCACATTGGCAATAACTGATGACATCACCAGCATATGTGCAGCAACATTCTGCATTTAGGGTGTAGCAAACTTGCTCATCACAGTTGGACGCGGAGTTCCCCTTTTTTATTAGAAGTATTCCTCAATCCTTTATTCCCTACCCCCTCCCTTCCTGAGAGGCACAGGGACAGATGTGTAAGTGTTAAAAGTTGCCAGCAGGCTGGAGCAGCAGGGGGCCCAGTGCTACAAAGCCCCTCCATAGAGACAGCAGACACTCTGTCCCAAGGCCTGTGTAAAATATCACACCTCCTAATCAAGATAAGATAGTTTTTTCCAGGCCTTGAAAAAAGTTGGAACCTCATAAAACCTAACAGTTAAAGGTGGCAGAATGAAATGAACATTCCTCAAGTCAGGTTTTTCCCCTATGTTTCATGTCATGGATTATGATAGATGTTGGTTCTAATTCAGGGTTCGCCCGACTGACCCCTCCCAAAACAGCGTATTGGCCAGTGTTCAGAGCCACCACCCCCCCTGCAGGGGGACTTTAAAAGAAAGGCTAGCAACCCTAAAAAGCTAAGCTAAAGACATCTCCTAATTTTAACATCGTAACAGCAGGAGATCAAAGACCCTTTCCGCTCTGCATCTTGGATCTGCTTACCTTAAGGCTTAACATGGCAAGTAACTTAACCTTTTAACTTCTTCCTGTTATCTCTTTGCAGTGCTGGGCTGTTTCCTATTTTTTATATATACAGTAAATATATATCTTAGTTACATCTTTTTCTGTAAATATTTTATTGCACCTGTAATGAATCTCTTTTAGTAATAAATCTTTATTTCTTAAAGTGTTAAACTGTTTCTAAAGCGTTTAATTGCAATTCACGAATTCCTGCCTTTTGAAGAGACGCTACCGTGTTTGTTTAATCCTCTGCCCAATCGGCCTGCGGTGACCGTATTGGACAGGAGACTTTCAACCATTACAGTGTATATTGGATAAAGAGAGTTTCCCCTTTCTCTGTACAAAAAGGGGTGGTGGCAGTGAAGGGTTAGTTGCGTGATTAACCTGACCCAGTAACAAGCGCATTCAGGCTGCCGGTGCGTCGATTGTGTTCCCTTAGCTGGACAATCGTTGTGCAGGGCGCAGCTGAGTGTGGCATTGTTACGCGCGTCACATCGCGGTTTTAGATCGGCCGGTCCTTTGGTCACGAGTTTGGTGAGAAGGTCTGGGGTCTGACGTATTATTGTTAATCGCGGTTGTGCGGTTGTCGCATGTTGAGGGTGGCGATCAGGCGACCGTGACTTAGGGCACACAGAGTGCAACTTGGAATGCCATGTAGCCAGGGACCGACTGACAACTCATGGGGCCCCCAGGCAATAGGGGATCAAGGGGCCCCTGTGTCCTTGCCCAAATTTAAAAAAAGCCTATGAAAAAGGTACCAGGGGCATCTCATGGGGCCCCCTACTGACCCCGGGCCCTCGGGCCGTGCCCAAGTTTCCAAATGATCAGTCCGCCCCTGCACGCACCATCCCACGATCATGACTCATTTACAGAAGTGACATCATGGTGGCCCAGGCATTCAGATGTCGCAAACTCGGCAGGAAAACCAGGTGAAGATAGAAGCACCTGGCAGAAGTGACAGCGCAATGTTGGAGGGCTTCGTTTGAAAGGTAAGTTTGCCATAATGCATATATTAGTGCATATTAGTACACATTATGGAATAAAACTGAAGAAGGTCCCCAAAAAAAAATTATTTATATATATATTTATATATACACATACATACATATATGCACACACACATATACTGCACATACAGTCAGGTCCATAAATATTGGACATTGACACAATTCTAACATTTTTGGCTCTATACACCACCACAATGGATTTGAAATGAAACGAACAAGATATGCTTTAACTGCAGACTGTCAGCTTTAATTTGAGGGTATTTACATCCAAATCAGGTGAACGGTGTAGGAATTACAACAGTTTGCATATGTGCCTCCCACTTATTAAGGGACCAAAAGTAATGGGACAGAATAATAATCATAAATCAAACTTTCACTTTTTAATACTTGGTTGCAAATCCTTTGCAGTCAATTACAGCCTGAAGTCTGGAACGCATAGACATCACCAGACGCTGGGTTTCATCCCTGGTGATGCTCTGCCAGGCCTCTACTGCAACTGTCTTCAGTTCCTGCTTGTTCTTGAGGCATTTTCCCTTCAGTTTTGTCTTCAGCAAGTGAAATGCATGCTCAATCGGATTCAGGTCAGGTGATTGACTTGGCCATTGCATAACATTCCACTTCTTTCCCTTAAACAACTCTTTGGTTGCTTTTGCAGTATGCTTTGGGTCATTGTCAATCTGCACTGTGAAGCGTCCAAAGAGTTCTGAAGCATTTGGCTGAATATGAGCAGATAATATTGCCCGAAACACTTCAGAATTCATCCTGCTGCTTTTGTCAGCAGTCACATCATCAATAAATACAAGAGAACCAGTTCCATTGGCAGCCATACATGCCCACTCCATGACACTACCACCACCATGCTTCACTGATGAGGTGGTATGCTTAGGATCATGAGCAGTTCCTTTCCTTCTCCATACTCTTCTCTTCCCATCACTCTGGTACAAGTTGATCTTAGTCTCATCTGTCCATAGGATGTTGTTCCAGAACTGTGAAGGCTTTTTTATATGTCGTTTGGCAAACTCTAATCTGGCCTTCCTGTTTTTGAGGCTCACCAATGGTTTACTTCTTGTGGTGAACCCTCTGTTTTCACTCTGGTGAAGTCTTCTCTTGATTGTTGACTTTGACACACATACACCTACCTCCTGGAGAGTGTTCTTGATCTGGCCAACTGTTGTGAAGGGTGTTTTCTTTACCTGGGAAAGAATTCTTCGGTCATCCACCACAGTTGTTTTCCGTGGTCTTCCGGGTCTTTTGGTGTTGCTGAGCTCACCGGTGCGTTCCTTCTTTTTAAGAATGTTCCAAACAGTTGTTTTGGCCACGCCTAATGTTTTTGCTATCTCTCTGATGGGTTTGTTTTGTTTTTTTTCAGCCTAATGATGGCTTGCTTCACTGATAGTGACAGCTCTTTGGATCTCATCTTGAGAGTTGACAGCAACAGATTCCAAATGCAAATAGCACACTTGAAATGAACTCTGGACCCTTTCTCTGCTCATTGTTATTGAGATAATGAGGGAATAACACACACCTGGCCATGGAACAGCTGAGAAGCCAATTGTCCCATTACTGTTGGTCCCTTAATAAGTGGGAGGCACATATGCAAACTGTTGTAATTCCTACACCGTTCACCTGATTTGGATGTAAATACCCTCAAATTTAAGCTGACAGTCTGCAGTTAAAGCACATCTTGTTCATTTCATTTCAAATCCATTGTGGTGGTGTATAGAGCCAAAAATGTTAGAATTGTGTCGATGTCCCAATATTTATGGACCTGACTGTACATACATGCAGCCAATGATCAATGAAAGTCTTCCAGCATGTCTGTTTGACAGAAGCTGATCTAACAATTGACTTCTGCCAAACAGAGAGGGCCAAGCACAGGTCAAAATTCATCCGGTTCCTTGAATCTATCTGTATCCAGCCAAACTCAGATATGCCAGTGTAAATGAGGCTTTAAGCCCCGATTCACACTGAATACGACTTTGAAATCGCTTGACTTCATGCACAGATGTCTATGCAAGTCATTACCCGAGATCGCATAAAAAAAGTGCAGGAAACTTTTTTCAAATCGGTGCTGCACCGCAAAGTCGAAGTTGCACTGATTTGAATGATTCCATTGCTGCCCATAGGGTGCAAATTGTAATGCGATTTGAAACTTCAAATCGCATGACAAGTTGTGCTGGTGTGAATGGGGGGGTAGGTGACGTGTGTGGACGCAATGTCACTCCTTATTGGTTGGTGGGCAGAGCTATATTTTAAAATATAAAAGATGAGGTTGCTTTGAGGAAATAGATACCAAATACTCCATGTCTTAAAATTGTGTGCGCCCGCGATAACGCCAAAAAACTACGGTGCCCAAAAATCACCATAGGCGATGCTTTAAAACCCTTACAGATCATTAGTTTAGAGTTAACTAGGAGCTCTTGTGCTAGAATTATTGCTCTCACTCTGACGTTCGTAGCAATATGTCATATGTGTGGTGCGACCGTGGTTCACATACGTGTTCACAATTTAGGCTTGAGTTCGCACAGGTGTGCGAGGCAATGGGGGTTACGACTACTTTTTTGTTATTTTAATATATTTTATCATAATTTGAATTTTTAAAACTTTTTTTCTTTTTTTTTTAATTTATTTTTACTTGATTTTTTTACTTGAGATCCCAGGAACCACTGGAGGAGGGGGGTCGCCAGCGGGAAGGGGGGGGGGGGGGGCACCGTGCTGCTGGCTCTGTGAAAATGATCGGCAGCTACAGAGCTGCCACATCACTTTCCAGTGGCTGCTTCAGACAAATTAGGCGGCCGCGAGGCCCCAGTGGGTGAAAGGACTTAGTCAGCCACCTAAATTGCCTAATTAGAGAGCCGCTTCTGCTTGCAGGAGACAAACAGCAATATAAATACCACAGGGGCTCTTAAAGTGGAACTTAACTTTATCTGAGCTCCACAAACTAAAAATGTTATTTCATTCATTTTTAATATTCAGTGCAATCTCACCCATCCATCCTTGCCTCCATGCTTTATTTTGTTGAAACATACTTTTAAAAAACACCTCTTAGCATTTTTAGCCGTGACCATCTTAAGAAAGAGCAGATGGTTCATGTAGTATTTACTTCCTGAAATCCATCATCCCTTAGCTCAGACATGCATGCATGAGGGTGCTTAGCTGAGAAAGCCCCTCCTCCTCTCCTCCAGATGAAAGATGGATGGATGACATTTTGGCCTAGGCCAGAAACCAGGAAGCAACTAAAGAAATCTACGTACTTATGCTAGCAGCACAAGGATTACAAATAGTTAATGCTGATTGAGAGAGTAAAGTTCTGTTTAATTTTCACCACTGTATCTGTTTAGTAAAGAAAAATTACCTGATTGTCTCCCATACATCAAAGCCATCAAGGGGCTTCGTCCCATTGGTAGATCCTCCTGCTAGGTGTACTAATGTGGGCAGCCAGTCTGAAATATGGATCAGCTCTGTGTTTGTGACTCCAGTCTGCTTTAACAAGGGGCTTGTAACAAAGCCCACTCCTCGCACTCCTCCTTCCCAGAGGGTCCACTTCCTCCCACGCAGAGGCCAGTTGTTTCCCCCTGATAAGGTCTGACCACCGTTATCTGTAAGCAAAATGTTGGAGTTATCAATCTGACAGGAAGCTGAGATAGCAATGCAAATAAAATCATTTTCTAATTTTGGCAATACTTGATACACTGAATAGTCTAAGAAATGTACAATCACTGGGCCACTCCTAGCCTGAGCAACAAAAAAATCCAGATCAGCATATGCTATAGCTCCTATAACTGGAACAACACGGGATACCCTACTCCGTAATGCTGTCTTCACTCTGTATCACTTGAAATGGGTCATGCATTGTTTTGGCTCCTCTGGCACAGAAGCTGCACAGTCGTATAACAACTTATTGATGGAATGGCCTCTTACATGACCTAGTGACTGTCCCATTGAAATGTACCCATTGGACTTCTCAGGCCTTCTGCTTACTAAGCTGTACTGTATCTTTCTAAGTCAAACAAAAGGAAAAGCAAAGTAGAGAGCAGCGGCGTTGCTAGGAGGGGGGTGCAGACTGCACCCGGGTGACCAGGGGCCGTAGATAAGGGGGTACCACCAGTCCTCCTGTCACACTGGGCCCCGGCAGCTGGGTGAATTGAATATGGGCAGAGAGTGTGATTGGCACAGCAGGGGGGCAATTACTGGAACCAATCCCCTGTATGGCTCTCTCTGCAGCAGGTGAAAGCTGGCTTTTTCTCCTCTCCCACCAGATGGCTTTCAGCTGATACAGAGAGAGCCATACAGGGGATCAGTTCCAGTAATTGACCCCCCCTCCCATACCCATCACCCTCACTGTGCACCATACATTCCCCCTGCTACCCAGGCCCCCTTGTGTGCCCCTGCCTTGCTGCCAGCTCCCTTCCTCTCATTCCCACCGGCAGCTGCAAGCACACAATAGGATCCTTCAGGATGGAGAGTGCGAGAAGGGTCCGGTAAATATGTCACATTTACCTGCCTCTTTCTTTCATGAATGAGCACAATGTGTGTTTAGTACCGATCACTCACTGTGTTCGTTCATAACTGAAGCACAGAAAACTTTGGGGTTTTATTGGGGGGGGGGGGAGCCATTCGGGTTGGCTGCAGTTGACACCTGCCAGAGGGGTGACACCCGGGTATCGCCCCCCACCCCAAATATAAATGAGCCCTTACAGTCTTGATAAGGCTGCTTTCACAGTGATACATTGTGTTTTACCCGCACCGAGGGTGCAGCACAGTGCATCTGTGGCTTGCCTGTGGGCTAGCTGCGTTCTGCCATAAACATCTATTATATCTTGCTGGTGCAGTGTCTTTCTGAAACGGTCCCAAAACTCTTACATTCAGTTTGAGGTGGAGGGACACATCAGAGGGCTCTAAGGACCACATGTTGAGCACCTCTGGTGTATACAGTATGTACAATTTAAAAAATGACAGAACCCAACTTCCAAACAAGTAATGTGGATGCACGGCTCTCCTCTGCTGCGCTATTGTATTCTGACAGTGTAGGCTCCCCCTATCAGAATGCACAGATCAGCACTGCAGCAATTGCCTACAAGTGCTGATCAAATGCTGGTTTTCCAGCATGACTGTTTGACAGAAGGTGGTTGTTACACGGGCTTCTGTTTAACAAAAAGTAGTACACACAGACCACTTGACCAGCTGATTTTCGGTATGCGTGTACCCGGCCTAACTCTCTACTTCATCACTCACTTCTACCAGCCTAGCTTATTCACTGCCAGGAGATTGCTGGTCATTTCTAAAATAAGGCAAGATATCTCCCTCACCTAACATAACATGTATATCACAACACATTCACTTATTTCCTCAGATGACCTCATCAACACATACTTTTTATTTGATGCCTGCCTATCCACCTGCCCCCTGGTCCCCATTCTCTCACACCTACTATGGCCACCCTTTAGCTCTATTTTTTTTCCTTAATCACATCTGCAATCTCTCCCTATCTACTGCCATATTTCCCTCTCCTCCAAAATATACACCGGTGTCCCCCATACTTAAAAAGTGCTCCCTGGACCCCTCCAGTCTGACCAGCCTAAGGCCCATCTTGCTCTCCTCTCCTTGCACCTCCAAGCATTTTGAATGCCTAGTCTACAATTGTCTGAGCTATCACTCCACTGTTAACAAGCTTCTCGACTCCTTACAATCTGGCTTACAGATCCAACACTGCACAGAGTCTGCCCTACTAAAACTTGATAATGACTTACCAACTTCTAAAACCGACGGCCACTACTCTGTACTTATAACCTTAGACCTCTCTGCTGTGATACATATAACCACCCGCTTCTCCTCCAAAAACCTCCGCTCTCATACAGTGGTGTCACTATGGGGGTGTAGTTGGTGCGGACCGCACCTAGGTGACACACTCAAGAGGTGTGATACCATCCCATCCGTGACAGTGCACTGATCGATATCTGCACTTTCCTGCTCCTGCTATCACTCCACAGCGGCAGGACAGAGTACTGTGGGAGGCTAGGGGGGGACAGGACCTCAGGATCTAAGGGGGTGCTGGGGTTCTTTCAGTTCTGCCCCCCCCAGCCTGGCCCTCTTTGGTACAGTGTGCCCACCCCTGCAGAGCTCCTCTCCCTACACCCGCACTCAGGGATGGATGGACAGGGAGAGCAGCCGACACAGTCAACGAAAGTGAACAGCGAACTCTGGACAGGAGAAGTGGCAGTTGTTCAGGCTTTCCTGTCATAAGAGCGATCCTTCATCATACAGAAGATGACACTGGATTGTGCCAACATCAGACTGTACATCGTATGAGTACCCACTCTACCCACATTTCCTGCTGCCTGGAGAACAGCAGTCCTTGGAAAAGATGGGGGCAGGTAATCATACAGTGCACTGTCTAATGTTAGAGCAATCCAGTGTCATCTTCTGTATGATGAAGGATCACGGTCATGACAGGAGGGAGAGCACAGCTCAGCCTGAACCGCTGCCACTTCTTCTGTACTTCCTGCCTGTAACATTCAAGGGGAGTGGGGTGGAGAATTGTACTGGGAACATAATGGGGGGGGGGGGGGGGGGGGTGAGGGGTGAACAATCATTTGGGCATTGATTGAGAAGTATGTTGAGGAGTTATGCTGGCATGAGGAAGTTGGGGAAGGGTATGTGTTATGAAACAGGATTTCTGGGGAGGGGGTCCACTAAATGCCCTCTGCCAGCACTGACCCTATGTCTTCTTCTCTGCTGACCACTGTACTGTACAGTGCCCTGCTGACCCCCTGTACACTGCCCTTCTGACCCTTTGTCCTCTGCCCTGCTGACCCCTGTCCTCTGCTCTGCTGACCCACTGTAAACTGTCCTACAAATCGCCGACCTTATCCTCTGCCCTGCTGACGCCTTCTACAATGCCCTACCAACTCTCATACACTACACTGCTGACCTCGCATCTTCTGCCCCCTGACATTTATTACTGTACCCCCACATTGGACAGGCTAAATCCAGCAGTGCTCATAAAACATGGTGCGGGGAGGATGACACCATGTTTTACCACACCAGATGACAACAGCCCTAGTGACGCCACTGCTCCCATAACCTCCAAGACTGGCGTTTCCTAGTTCCCCTTCTACCAATCTCAACTCTTTTGTCTCTCCATCTCTATTCTAAAGACACCCAAATCTATTTCTCTAATCCTCAACTCACCTCTTCTGTCTCCTCATGCATCACCAATTGATTACTTTCACACCAATTCCTCAAAACCCAATCTCTCCAAAACAGGTGCTAGGGAGACTCTGACCTCTCCTTTCGGCCCCACATCCAATCAATCACTAAATGTTGCCTCTTTATCCTCTGTAATATTTCCAAATTCTACCCCTTCTTAACTAATAACACAACAAAGCTATTAAATCACTCCCTAGTTATCTCTCACCTAGACTATGAAGCTATCGCCCCTTCAGTCTATCGTGAATGCTGCTGCTAGACGTATTCACTCTACCAAGCTTTGGTGGCCGTTGCCCCTCTCTGCCAAAGCTTTATAGAAGCTGTATTAGTTTCCATGAATGAAAAACGCTCTATGAATGAAGGAGGTGTATTTTTCATTCACCCACCCACCCATCCTTCATTCAGAGAGTGACTCTCAGTGTCTATAAATTGGGGAAGGAGGCAGAAAGGGCAGGCATAGTCGGCACTCTTCTCAAGTGCATATTACAAGTCCCTTGGTTCATATTAACCCCTGCAGTACCAGAAGATTACAGCTGCAGGGGAAGGAGGGGAATCATTGGACAAAGGATTTCAACTAAAACCACAGCCAGCAGCAAAAGGAACACTTTCCATGGATTTAAAACAGTGTCCCTTTTTTAATTCTGACTAAACTTGGGCTTTAGTTCACATCAGAGCATTGAAATATGAATTCAGATTTGCTATGAGTTACTGCAATTTACACACTGGGTGTTATTTAATAAAACTGGAGAACAGAAAAATTTTGGTGCAACTCTGCATAGAAACCAATCAGCTTCCTGGTTTTATTGCCAAAGTTTAATTCAATAAGCTGAAGTTAGAAGCTGATTGGCTACTATGCACAGCTGCACCAGATTCTTAGAGCTCCAGTTTTAGTAAATCCACCTCATTTCTCTTTGCTGATAAAGAAATGAATGTGTGTTCAAGAAGAAAACTTTTAGATAGTTATCTTCCATTAAAAGTCCTATTACCTTTATCTACAACCCAAAAAATAAAAAATCCTCATTTACAAGCACATTTAGCTGTGATCTCCTGGCACCTGTACCTTCAAGAGAGTCTTTATATCATCTGCACAAATTCCTGCATATTTTTCAAAACTAAAAATTATCTATTGTCACACTGAACGTGGTCAGGCTTACATTTGTTGAGCTACCTGTGGAGCTTCAAGGACAGCTCCAGCACAGAGGCTGCAGTCCGCTCTCAGCATGCAGACATAGAGAACTCCGGCCCCCTCATTGTTTTCAGAACATCAGAGCGGAGCACCATGTGTTAGTGACTCTCAATACTTTCCACCTGGTGAGCGTCACAATATGTCTGCTGCTCAGCAGGTAACAATTTGTTCTGACAATTATCAGAGCCCTGTGCCAAGCTGCTT